GTTGCAAAAAAAACCAACAACCAATGATTGCCAATGTTGCTCTGTATCTGCTGGCTTTGTAAATAAGCAACTGTATACCAATAAGTTCAAATTATCAACTACAAATGTGATAGTATGTCAAACTCTTTCCTGCTGATATTGCAGGTTTAAGAATAATCCTAATACAAACAAACCCTACTCACACCTTCTTTATGTCCTCTGTGTTCCCTCTTCAGGTGCAAGGATAGCAGAGTACTCCCAACTCTATGACCAGGTCATGTTTAAGGATCCTCCTGGTTCAGCTGGTCAGACCTCTGCTACCCCACATCACACCCATCCAGGGCTGCCATATTCTCCATCAATGCCGGAGACCTCACTGGAGGAGGACTGGCTCCACTCCACTTACAGCAACGGAGAGCTGGCCAGCTTCGTCTCCTCATCCAGCGAGGTGGAGGATGCTCAAGGGTCTTCTGCCCCACACCGCAGGCTTACCTCCTCATGCTCCATCCCTTCTCTCCAGACCTTCCCTCCCTCTCCCACCAGCCCACCGTCCCAGAGGTGGAGCTCGTGCATGTCGGCGCCAAGCGAAAAAGAAGAGCATGTGTACAGTTCCATTAAGAGACACCCTTCATTTAACTCTCCATCCTTGCCCTCCTCAAAGTCCTCCCCATCCAGTCAGTGTCAGTCAGTAAGCTCTTTGGGCAGCCAGGTGCAGGAGAAAAACCAATCTGGACTCAAATGTAACGGACCCACTGTTGATCGATCCACAGACAGACTCCATGGCCCCAGTCTGGGTCGTGCTGGTCGGCAGAGTAGCCTCCCAGAGCGCTCCACTCAGGGACAGTCAGACCTCACTTTACACGACGGTCAACAGGTGGTGGTCCTGAACCGGGCTTCAGCACTGAGCATTCTCAATGCCACCCAGAACTACCTGGCTAATTTTAAGGACAATGGGGAAGATGATGATGACTATGTAGAGATCCGCTCAGAAGACGAGTGCGAGCAGGAGCAGGACAGGTTGGCGCAGCGAAATGACAGCTCAGCCCTTTCCAATCAGAGCCGGGGACTTGTCCACTCCCAGAGTCTGCCGTGCACACCGGTGCGCTCCTGCGACCCGCTGAGGTCTCTGGACCGTGAACAGCTGGAGAAGTACCTGTGGAACGAGCCGCAGCAGAGCCAACCCAAAATCGTCCAGTCTCTGAGGGAGAAGTTTCAGTGTCTGAGCTCCAGTAGCTTTGCCTGAGTCTATACGACAATTACAAGCCAAATATATACAAACATACAGCATATAGCAACAAAAGGGACACTGCTGCTTTGCCTTGAATGCCCTACATCATTCAACATCATAGTTCACGAATAAAAACAAACATAACCCATCTCTTAACATAGATCAGAAGCACATTCTTTGATCGCAGAGATATTTGCAACAACTTATGTGAACACCTAAACTCTCTGTTACAGGGCTTCAATGTAAAATACACAATAGGTTACTGTTAATAGTCAAAATGCCACATCAAAGCCTGCATGTGAGCTGCCTTAGCACTTCCAGGTTCAAACAGTCTTCTCATGTATGTTTCAAAGAGATCTGGTGGGGAAACATTAGCAATAAAGGCATTCAGTGTGACTGAATGGGTTTTAATGTTCAAAGGAGTTCAAATTATTTTATTGCTTTACATGTGAGCCTTGTAGGGATAATTGGAGTTGTAAGAATTGATTCTGCCGGAGGACTTGTGCCAAGAAACTGTTGTACAGATACAGTAGTTCAGGATATCTGTTACCGATTGTAAGGAGTAGAATCTCTTCTGTGCCCAACATCTTAAACCGAAGTGCAAGCCTAAAAAAACTGATGATCTTTGGTGGATCTTGATGCACCACGTCAGGAGTACCTCTCCATGCTCTTTCTTTTAATTTGCTGTTAAGGTTATTTTTAACTGCATTTTACAGCACTAGTTAATCTTAACCTGTATAGGAGTGATGAACCACAGTGATAGCTAGTGTTTTTAATTGTGCTTACACTTTTAAACAGCTCTGAACAAGCAGCAGTTCAAATTTGCAGTCGTCAGATTTGCTACTCGGGCTAGATTGTCACTTTTAACTGCTTATTAGCGATAATTGTAACACAAGGATGCAATTGTAAAGAAAACATGTCGGCTATTACAAGATCCAATAGGTTAAGTATAACTGGACTTAGACCTGTAAGTCTATTTGAAGTTATTGTATTTCACTCTACCTACCACCTTTGTCATCAATAGGGTATCACGCTTTAAAATCAAGAGAAGATGCTGATATTTTAGATAAACTATAAGAAACCGTAGGACTTCATATTTATTTTGAATCTATGAGTAAATCGGAGATGTTTTTACGCGTTATGGTCTGGGGGCATCCATCATGTAGAGTGAAATGTGCATCTAAATAAGTCAATTATGTTTGTTGGTTTCTTTTTTTTAAATCACACTAATTTTAAAGTTGTTTTTTTTTAAGAGGGACCACGAAGGAGAGCATTAAGGAGAGATGGTTAAAAGACTACAGTACTGTATTTGGTGTATATTTTACTGTTTGTTTACGTTATGGGGAACTGTCACACTACTGATATCGCATCCACAGTCACAGAAAGAAAGCCACAGTCAGATAGGTGTCACTCACTTTGATTAAAGTTCATACAACTCCCCCCTTGAAACATACCCAACATTCACCACACACTTGTTGAAACTATCCTGAAAATAATCACTAAATGTGTTCTATTTATTTGAAAGCATCATTGTTATTTTGACCCTTATCACTATTACTCCAAGTCACAGACAAGTTGTAAAATAAAGTCAAATGTATTTATTAAAAGATGGTTTTATTCAGATTTAGGGAAGCAGACAAAATTTGAATCAAATACTGTGAATATTTTCATAAGTGGGTTTTCTATCACGCACTGCTTAATACAAGTTCCAGATCACAATAACACGTGAAAAGTTGAAAAGCACAATATCACGGGCCTACTGTTCATATCAGGAGATGTGCGTCAAAAACAAGTTAGGAATATGAAGTATTGTTTTTCATTGTACATTTTTGTCCTTTGTTTCGCTGGTGGGGATCGTCAGTCTTCATTGACTCTGTTTTGCACTTTTCTGTCTTTTTTTACATTTTATTTGTAAACACTTTGTAAAGATGTACATTTTAGGAAAGTTATTCTTGTATGCCATAGTTATGCTTTATAATGCTTTAATGTTTAAGTTAAGTGTACTGTATTTTTTTAACTGCCTAGTTGTCATTGCTCAACAAAACAATGTATTGGAGGTAATAAATTCAGATTAAACTCATCTCTGTGTATTTGTGGTTGTCATTGAGTAAATATGTCGCCATATTGAATATAGTACACAACAGCACCTGATTACCATTCAGAGGTTCATGCTCACCAGTATGAAATATTCATGCATTAAAGCAGAGCAGCCTACAAAATAGGACACAATTCAAGATAATAATCATCCTATTGTGAAGAATATGCTCAGTGAACAAACATAAAGAATTCCTGCTTTATTTTATAGCATGCAGATATGTTTGTCTTTTAAATCACATTATAGGGAAAATCAGTTTATATTGCAGAATAAAATATGGAAAGCATCTGACTCCCTTGAGGTTTCAACATAATGCTTGGTCCCCATTACATTCTGGTAGATATATCAATGCCCTCAGTGATCAGGAGTATAGCCAGACAAATAAAAGGCTACGTTTTTTTAAAAATGAAACCAATATCTAAATATGAGAGTTTAAGAAATCTGATAACAATAAATTAACCAATAATATTCATTTTTGATCAGGATAAGATTTACTGTGGAGTACACTTTATGTCTGGAAAGAAAACTCATCAGTGCTCTCTGGTGGACAAACTAATGGTGACAACTCCCAAATTACCTCAAACATATTTTTAATATTTCCATAATGATTTTTATTGTTACTTTGATAGTTTTGACACTGGAATGTGAGAAGCTTAAATTATTATATGTGTAGCCTAATATAGATAGATACAGTAACTATGCATAGATAGACAGATAGATAGATAGATAGATAGATAGATAGATAGATAGATAGATAGATAGATAGATAGATAGACTTTATTAATCCCCGCAGGGAAATTGGGTCATCATAGCAGCCAGGTACATTAACATACAATAAAATACAACAATAGAATAAAATACTTAGAAAAGATTAAAAAAAAGATAAATAGGTAGGTAAGGTGCAAAGAGTTGTAAGAGAGATGCCTGAGCCAATTTATCAGGAAATAAATAAAACCTCAGTTCTCAAACAATTCCCCCAAAAATAAAAACAAGAATAATGCCTCTCACTACAAGAAGAAAAAATATATAATAACATCACATCTATCTAATCAACAGCAGGGGGCACACTAGCAGCCCACAACAAACTAGAGATAAACCAAGAAGAAGAGGGTGATGCATGCTGGGAAATGCAGTTTACAAGAAATAACATTACAACACGCTGTTTTATAATCTATTAAGGGGACTGGCTGACGTGAAACTTAACCACCAATGTAGAGTTGATATTCTTTACATAATCTAAAGCCCTCATACTTTAATTTCCCCTTTTTTCCTCCTTTTTAAATCAATTTTCTTCTCGAACCTTCTGCTTTTAGGTTTACCGGTTTACCCACAATGCACTGCGGCGCCTCCCTTTCTTCGTCGTTGTGCGGTGGTCCAAAATGTCGCTGTTAGAGGGTCCGTTAAATGTGCTCGGCCACAGATCAACTGGCGAGTCCGTTCGTAGTCAAAATGGTGAGTAGTGGTTGCGCTTCACCTGGCGTTTCATCTGCACTCCGTGTGTTTAATCTGCGTCGCGAACAATCGACCGGAGAAGAGTTTTAATGTACCGCCGTTAACACACGTGTGGCTAGTGCTAACGCTGGCTAACTTTGTCTGGTCACTTTTTAAATCCTCCTGGGAGATTCTGACCAAGCGCTGAAATGTCGTCTGCTAGTTTTACAAAGTGTGCACTGTTACGCCAACAGCGTTCATTAGGAAAGTCCCGTTTCAGTACCTTCCACTCGCACCACCATGAATGGACGGCTATGCTAACGGGACAGAAAAGCACTGTCACGGTCTGAAGGTGTGGCTAACATACTGTGTACCGCACCAAATAAGATGACGGGACATGTCGATGTTTTTTAAGTTAAGGATCTACTAGCTGTTTTTAAAATGAAAATAAAAGGTTTATTTTTTTTTGAGCTAGCTGCAGTTTGCTCCTTGTCTTTGCAGTCTTGGCCGCAGCCTCCATCGCCAACATCGTCAAGAGCTCCCTCGGACCCGTCGGCCTCGACAAGATGCTGGTGGACGACATCGGGGTATGTGACACATTCAACATGATCTATCCCCTTCTTTTTTTTTAATCAATCTGTTTTTATACAGTAGCAAACATTGTAGTCTGAGTTGCTCATGTTGTCTCATGGGCGCACTGACAGGACGTGACCATCACCAACGATGGAGCGACCATCCTGAAGCTGCTGGAAGTGGAGCATCCAGCTGCCAAGGTCCTGTGTGAACTGGCTGACCTGCAGGACAAGGAGGTCGGGGATGGGACCACGTCTGTGGTGAGTAGGGTCAACAGCTGCTCCTATGTGGTGCTGCTAGCTCATTTGTCCTCTTGCATGGAGAGTGGGCTGTGTTTGTTGGTGGTAATTTGTAGCTGCACACACATAATAAGTTAAAAGTGAGTGTCCTGTTATAGTACCAAGCGTCTGCCTTTTCTTTCGGATGTGTGGCTATGCTAACAGGAGAGAGAAACTGTCCATCAGTGTCTGAAGGGGTCGAGCAGCCTCATTTCTGCCACCCCTAATGAAACGATGGTACAATATGATGTTTAATTAGGGCCCGAGCACTGACCGTGCAAAGGCCCTGTTGTAATGCAAGGAATTACTATTTTCTGCCGAAACGATTGCATTTTTTTGGAGGTTGCAACATGCTCGAAAGCTCATGAAACTCTGCACACATGTCAGTTGCGGTGAAAAATGTCGTATTCTATGGGAGTCCAATATGACCATGGCGTAAACTGAACCACCCTTTCACCAATATGCATAAAAATTGGTAAACACGTCGATCTTATCAAAAAGTGAATTGGTCAGAACGACTTTAAAATTGGTGAGTACGATCAATAAAAAAAAAAAAAAAGTTTAGGTCAGATGTTACAGTACAAAATTCTTTACATTCAGTCAAACAGTGTGTCCGTGGCGTGTCTTAAACAAAAATCAGCCTTGACATGACAATAGAAACCCCAAACCTAACTGCAGTACAGATTCTCCATTTGGACCCAAACTTCACAAGTTTAAGAGCCCTGGCCTAAACACATCTAAGAGCCAATATTCAGTCGCTGTCATAGCGCCAACTACTGGCAACAGGAAGTAAGCCCTGTGTGGCGATTGCGATGTGTTGTGTAGCTCGGTGTTGTCATGACGTACTGGTGCGTGACCCGACAGCGGCACACCCTGACGTGCGTCGAGTGCGAGGGCCCATTCATCACTGCTTGCAGTTTTAATTTTAATTTTTCATGTAACAAAGTACTTTTAGTTAGATGACACCAGCTGTAGTTTTTCACCTTTTTAACATATATCTTGTGACATCCTTTTTTTTTAGGTAATTCTTGCTGCAGAATTTCTAAAGAGTGCAGATGAGCTGGTGAAGCAGAAGATTCACCCAACATCAGTCATCAGCGGATATCGTCTGGCTTGCAAGTAAGATGCTAACGAGAACTGCTCTGTTTAGAAGTGTTTACAAACAGACACCGATCGACCCCTGGGTGCTTCAAATATTCACATTTTTTGACACGCAAACCTGCTTTTTTGTCTTCCAGGGAGGCAGTTCGCTACATTAATGAGAATCTCACTATTGGAACAGATGACCTCGGCAGAGAGTGTCTAATCAATGCCGCTAAGACATCAATGTCTTCCAAAATCATTGGAGTGTATCCTTTATAGCTGTGCAGTGCATTAATGTTTTGTTTTGATCTAACCCTCATGCCTTGAGTTTGCAGGCAGTTGGCACAATTTGTAATTATTTACATTTTATGTATGTGAGTAAAGCCCTTATCTGCCTTAACCCCGAGCTCTCAGTGATGCAGACTTCTTTGCTAACATTGTGGTGGATGCTGCCTTGGCTGTGAAGTTTGTGGACGGCAAGGGAGTGGCCAAATATCCCATCAACTCTGTCAATGTACTGAAAGCCCACGGCCGCAGCCAGAAAGAGAGCTTCTTGGTTAATGGATATGCCCTGAACTGCACAGTTGGCTCCCAAGGTATGTTAGTTACATTGCAGATCTGAAATTAAATGTCTTTGTTAGGATTTAGTTGCCTCGTACATTACGATCGCAGCTGATCCAAACTCCCATTTAAATTTGCTGCTATGTCTCCCCTGATGGCGTAAGCAGTGATACGCGTGGGAGACAGTATACTGGCTTTGAAAGGAATTTAGACACAGTAGTTTGTAAACTGTGGCACCTCTTTTCTAGCCAGACAATGGAACAGTAGCCCTGAGTTAAATGAAATGCATTTTAATATCTTTGTCAGTTTGTCCTCATGCTGTCGAGTTGTAATGAAAAGTCAATATTTCTTTGGATATTTCCACTGTTGAACATACTGTTTTCTGCTTTTCCAAAGGTATGGTAAAACGTGTTGTCAATGCCAAGGTTGCTTGCCTGGACTTCAGCCTGCAGAAGACCAAGATGAAGATGGGAGTCCAAGTCCTCATCAGCGACCCAGAGAAGCTCGACCAGATCAGACAAAGGTAGATACAATTTTTTTCACAAATGCATCCTTAAGAATTATCCCATTTAAATTTGCTGTGATACTAAATCAATAGTTTACACAGTGATACGCGTGGGAGAAAATATCAGCAGCCCAGGTCAAGGCAGCAGCTTCTCTCTGAGCTGTTATACCACTACTATGGGCTGGACAATTTTGTATTATATTTATATTTTATTTTGTCTTATTAATATTATTTGTGAAACTGAATCTTTATTTGAATTTGTTGCTCCAGGGAATCTGATATCACAAAGGAGAGGATCCAAAAGATTTTGGCAGCAGGGGCCAACGTTATCCTGACCACCGGTGGGATTGATGATATGTGTCTTAAGTACTTTGTGGATGTAGGAGCCATGGCAGTGAGAAGGGTTCTGAAGAAGGACCTCAAACGCATCGCCAAAGCAACAGGAGGTAGGGTGGAAGTACTCTGGCGTTTTGAACTGATTGGATTTGTTTTTACTGATCCTTACATCTGTGTTAATGTCTTGGTCAAGCCCTTATGAGTGGATCAACTAATAAATATTACCGTGACCATTCTCAGCCACCATCTGCCCTTCTCTGACCAATCTGGAGGGAGAGGAGACTTTCGAGGCCACTATGCTTGGTCAAGCTGAAGAGGTTGTGCAGGAACGCCTCTGTGATGATGAGCTCATCCTTGTCAAGAAGTAAGAATTATACTTGGTACTTCTAACAAAATGCTGATTCACGCAGTTATGTCAGTACAACTGTAGGGTTGAGATCAACTGAAACGATGAAGAGTCTACAGTCTGACACACATTAACTGTACTGGTTCTGTTTCCTCCTCAGTACCAAAGCACGCACATCAGCATCCATCATTTTGCGCGGGGCCAACGACTTCATGTGTGACGAGATGGAGCGTTCGGTGCATGACGCCCTCTGTGTGGTCAAGAGGGTGCTGGAGTCAAAGTCTGTAGTTCCAGGAGGAGGCGCTGTGGAGGCAGCTCTGTCAATCTACCTTGAGAATTATGCTACCAGCATGGTGAGACATACCTTTATGGATTATACCTCTTTACCACGCATGCAGCTGTTGGCTCCTTCTCTTTTTAAGAGATGATTTGCCATGAGCATAGTGTTTGTTGTAACCCAATATCACCCAATGCTGAAACGTTGCTCATTGGTTTTGTTTCTTCAGGGTTCCCGAGAGCAGCTGGCTATCGCTGAGTTTGCTCGGTCTCTCCTCGTCATCCCCAAGACGCTGGCTGTGAATGCAGCACAGGACTCCACTGATCTGGTGGCCAAGCTTCGGGCCTTCCACAATGAGGCTCAGGTTAATCCTGAACGCAAGAATCTGAAGTGGTGAGTCTTTCCTTCCTACACCAGTAATGAAACTGTAAGATCTGTTTACAGATTGCTGAGTTTGACTTTTTTAGTCTCACTCCCAAAGTCCTCTGTCATAGTAAACTGAAAATCTTTTGGTTTTGGACTATTAGAAAATGCAATTTGACTGAACAATAAATCAAGAAAATAATTGGCAGATGACTCCGAGTTTTTTTGCGGCCACGCATCAACCCCCTTTTTGCACTCACCCATTACAGACTATAACATGGATGCAAAATTCTCAAACAAAACTTTAAAAATGCCAGATTTTGCAGTTGATCGTACAAGTTTGACAAATTCTGACTGAGAGCTACATTAACTTTTATGGCAATTTGTCTATTATTAAGTTTTACTTTGTCTCAGGTGTTGGGTGAACTTCTTGTGTTATGTAGAAGTTATGAGTTAAGTATTTGAACACTTTGTCTTGTAGGATTGGTCTGGACCTGGTGAACGGCAAGCCTAGAGACAACCGTCAGGCTGGCGTGTACGAGCCCACCATGGTTAAAACAAAGAGCCTCAAGTTTGCCACAGAGGCCGCCATCACCATCCTCCGCATTGACGACCTCATCAAACTGTTCCCAGAGCAGAAGGAGGGCGGGCAGTCATACCAGGACGCCGTGCAATCAGGATCTCTGGAGGGTTAAAAGGCTGTGATTGGTCCAAATAGGTTCAACGTCTGTATTTATACATAAGGAGCTCTTCATGGCTGTTGCTCTAGTGTAGGCCGTGCACTTTGCCTGTTTACTGTTCTCCCTCTCCCCTTCAAGAGGAACTGTAAGTGATTTGTTTGTTTTTTTGGACACTTAAATAAAGCTCCAATGGTTGTAAATGGCCGTTGATTTGTTAATTCAGATTGGCTAACTGTGGTTATTCTGCAGGCACTGATGAGTTTTAAAGAACTTCTTGACTCTATGGCTTATAATTCTTTATTGATATGTATAACAGCTAGATTACAGGAAACATCTTTGTATGTACAGGAAGCACGAGGTTAGAGAAGCCTAGCATACTAAAACCTTATGGCACTTAGCTGTGTTTCAAGGCTGCTGTCTGCACAATTGATTAGAGAAAGTGGAATGTTGATCAGTATCCATTTTTAGAGCAACGTAGACCGCTTGAAGCATTTGTCAAATCAATTACACCACAAGTTTAAAAATGATGCTCTAAAGAGAAGGTCTCCCAAAGCCTGCCCATACTGGACACTAATAAAGCCCTGCCTTTGCAGTTTTAGTGTTTCACTTTTTCAGTCGTGCAGGTCATTTTAAAGAACCAACCAACAACCACAACTACAGTAGAGTACCTATTTAGCACACTACCGGGTTGTACCAACAGTTTTAGTTACTGCTGGTGTGTATTTAAGCTTTTAGCATACACTAGATTAACATCATTTAGACATCTGAAATCCTCTAACATTAAGTCACATGCTACACAGTTAGAACCTGAGGAAGGGTGAATTTAAGTAAAGTTCACAGTAAGAATGGCAGGATATTGTTGAAGACCCAACAACCACAAAACATACTCGTCACTTTTCCCTCAAGTACAGTGATTTGGAAGAACCCAGGTAAACAATTTTATAGCGTGTTCTGCAATGTAAACACTGAGTTTCAGTATCCCTTATCCATTAAAAAGACGAGATCAAGTGCAATCTGTGAAGCAGCGTTACATTTTCGTCTCAAACCCTCTCCACGCACATCGCGATGCCCATCCCTCCTCCAATGCAGAGAGATGCCACACCCTTACGGCCTCCAGTCCTCTGAAGCGCGTGCAACAAGGTCACCAGAACTCTGCAGCCGGACATACCAATGGGATGACCCAAAGAAATGGCACCACCACTCACATTCACCTGAGGAGAGGACAAAAGGGACAACACATTAGTGTCGCCCTGCTCGCGTAGTTGGATTCTAGAGTGAAATTTGACACGTAAACTTTGTACCTTGTCTACATTCAGACCAAGTTCTTTCACCACAGCAATAGACTGGGCAGCAAACGCTTCATTGATCTCAAATAAGTCGACGTGGTCCAGCTGCCAGCCTGCTTTCTCAACCTGATGGGAGAAGAAACAAGTAAAAATAAACACAAAGCATTTTCTCAATCATTGTTACATTTAGGTGCTTCTGATTTCTCACCGCTTTCCTGATGGCTGGTATTGGTCCCGTTCCCATCACAGATGGGTCAAGGCCAGCTTGAGCCCACGATACGATTCTGGCCATGGGTTTTATGCCACGCTTCGCAGCCTCTGATTGGCTCATTAAGACAGTTGCTGCTGCTCCATCATTAATACCTAAAGTTAAAAGAAACTGCTTTATACAAAAAGCTGGTACAGACAAGAACAGCAGTGGCAGACATCTGTTTGGTTAGTCATATAGACCTCATGACATAAGCTCTAGTTTAAAAATAACAAATATGGAGCACCAACTCTCGAACCTGAGGCGTTTCCAGCTGTGACGGTGCCACTGCTGTCCTTAATGAAGCAGGGTCTGAGTTTGGACATGCTGCTCATGTTGCTGCCGGGGCGAGGAAACTCATCCACCTTCACCTCCACTGGACCTGAAGACAAAGGTGACAAACAGATGAGACAGTTTCTCGCAGATAGAAGAATAAAATAGATCATAACTCACTGGACAGTTCCTTGCCTTGTCTGGATGGCACCATGACCGGGACAATCTCTTGATCAAAATGTCCCGCTTTCTGCGCAGCCTCCGTTTTGTTCTGGGACTGAACGGCAAACTGGTCCTGCTCCTCTCGACTGACGACCCACTGCTTCGCCACATTCTCAGCTGATAAAATACATTCCAGATGTATCACAACAATAAATACTTATTTAGTGGCGTGATATGATGGCGTTTGCCTCTGTATATTCTCAGCCATGCACACCTGTGATGCCCATGTGGTAGCCATGGAAGGCGTCTGTCAGGCCGTCGGCCACCATGGAGTCTTGTAGGGAGGCATCGCCCATCTTCACACCTGCTCTCATGTGCAGTGTGTGAGGAGCCTTTGGTGGAAGAAGGAAACAAACAGTCATTAGTCATTAAGGAAGTATCACTTTTCACCACTTGACTGCTGAAAAACATTGAGCCCCATGCAAGAACATTTTCGTAATCGTATCCTGAAGCTCCCTCAAATTTCTGAGCTTTTTTGTTCAAGTATTCCAAGTCACCAAACTCTCTGATCTGCACAAACATGTTAATCCCTTGTTTCAACTTCAAATCTCGTGAGATTAGATTATTAACATTATCGCCCTATAAGGATGCCTGTTTCTCTCCGTGTGTAGGCGAGTTAAAATTCCAAAGTTTTCCATACTAGAGCCATTTAGATGAAAATAATGTAAGATAAGTTCACTACAAAACCTATAGTTCTCAAATGTTAAATGTTGTATACACACAAGCAGCCAGACTTTGCTAAAGCAAAAAAAAAAAAAAAGTCTAAAATTTGTCAAATGTTTATATAAACAGGTACTATCTGATCCATTAACTGATCAGACAGGATTATGAATCTGGACAGACACTTGATTTCCGTTTTTGGTCTGTTATAAATACACAAACATACCGGACAGTAAAAGTAATGAGATTTCATAACTTCAGTATTATTGTTTTACAATACGTTTTTAAAGAGACGCCTTGTGTCTTACCCTACCTTGCTCATACTCTCCATGCCCCCTGCCACCACCACTGTGGACTCTCCGGACAAGATGGACTGAGCTCCCAGACACACAGCCTTCAGCCCAGAGCCACACACCATCTGGCAGCTCCAGGCCGGGACAGGGTAGGGGATCCCTGCCCCAACACTGGCCTGACGTGCTGGGTTCTGCCCATGACCTTGAGGGTAGAAAGGGAAAAATACGGTGAACACCAGTGAGATAAAGTCAAATCAGACACATATTGCCCAATAGCTGTTAACATGACACATGAATATGGGACCTCTGACACACTTTTATCTCAGTGATTTCCTGAGCTTTCACCTGCTGTTAGGACATGTCCCATGATAACCTCAGAGACCTCCTCTGGCTTCACCGCAGCCCGCTTCAGGACGTCCTTGATCACCACTGAACACAGGTCACGCAGAGGCACCGTGGACAGGGAACCGTTCAAGGACCCTGTGTAAAAATCAAGTAAAGATTTTGTGCCATGAGTACACCAAGGTGCATACTCATCTTTGTGTCATGGTGCCAAAAGTGCTCTGATTTCATCCCGTCTAGATTATTGTAACTACATTGTCTATGTAAATCTTTTGACCAGGTCCTCAAGAAGGGCTCTTGTAAATCAGATCTTAATCTCTTCTCATTGGCTCCCCATCAAATCCATCTTGTGATCACTTTCAGACATCTGCACTATCAGGCACCTGCCTACATTAGAGATCTACTGCAGGTTGTTTTCTTCAGAGATTTTCCAAACAGTTTCTGTGATTTGTGAAGTTCAGACCTCTAGTTTTTTTAGATTTAATTCCATTTTTATTTTATTAATTGGCTTTATATTTTGTCTGTATTTTATGTCTTCTTTTATAGTTTCCTGAGGAGCACTTTGGACCCCTGATCCAGAAAGGTGCCTATACAAAGAAACGTATTATATTATTATTTAGTTTCTTAGAATAAAGTTGCTATTTGTCCTGCTCTTAATTAAACTAATCACATTTTAGAGAAGAGACACGCCCCATCTTGCTCTGACAGAGTGGGCATGTTGACGGCAACCAATGGCAGGACGCTCGAGCTCCGTGGCACTATGACCAGCCAGCCAATCACAGGTCGCAGAATACTCCGGACACAAGCGCGAACCAATCAGAGCGCTGCGAGAGCACGCGTATTTAATTGAATGGACATCAACCACTTTGACTAATTAAACAAGACAAATGATAATATGGATGTAAACGTCTGTGGCTACGAGTCTGTACAAAGAGACACAACCGCTACCATAATGATTAATGTAAACACCTGTTAATATGAACGAGCAGCAGTGTAGCGGCAGTAAAAGTAGCAGCGTTAAAGACACTGCTTCAAATATACAGGATATAATATGCTACTAAAGAGATAGTAAGCCTTACCAATTGGCGTCCGAGCAGCAGAGACGATAACAACAGGCTCGGAGTTCATTTTGAGAGTCCTTTCCTTCAGAGTGCAGTTCCTGAGTGTCCACACTGCAGTGAGCTGATAGTGGCCGACAGACAGAGCACTGAACAGGATCTGTACCGGGCGGGAGACGCACCACAGCGACCCCGTGTGTGTCGGAGGTGTTCATTCATCATAATATTTCAGGGGCAAATATTTAATCATCCCACTGCATTGTTCCTTTCCTGTTTATATTATTTTTTTACATTATGCCTTCCATATATGCTGTATATATTATACTGTATCGACAGTGCCACCTTGGTTAGGGTAACATAACTTTGATTTATCAATAAGATTTCTACTTATTTGTATTTTACTTTCTTTCTACCGCTCCTGTCTTCTCTGTGTACCACAGTAATGCTTGTGTTCCCCCCTGGGACTAGTAAAAGTTATCTTATTACATGTCAGACAAATCATGTTCCAGTTTTTGTATATGTGCTGCCGCAGTAACACCTACCAAATCATGATTATCTTAAGATTTATGTAAAAGGTTTAAAATTAAGACACAAGCTAAACCCCACTTATTTTTATAAATGTTCATCCTCTCTTCATAATAAACTTGAAATGAAGTAGAATACTTTTATTTTGGATTGACAGACCCAGCAGGCTAGGTTATGTATTGAGGCCTTTTAAATATTTATGCTTCAGCTTCAACTAATTTATTGTTGTGTAGTAATAACGGGTGTCACTCGGTAGTATTAAAAATCTTTATTGGTATTTGGTCAGTACATGAAAAGGACTGAAGTCAGAATAATATGAACATCGCATATAAACTACTCACAATTTAACATAATATTTTGAACAGAATTGTTTGTCAATGAAAAATTAAAATTGCATTAAAAAAAACAAAAAAACAGGCCAACATCTAAAAATGACCTTGAATATTGCGAAGCTACTGTAATTCAGTGATTTTACTGACTTTTGACGATGAGTTACAACACCAGATGCCTGTTTCAGTGTCAAGAGCTCAAACAAGAACAGCATAGACGTGCTCAAATAAACAGCAGAATGAAAAAGGTACTAGTTTTAAATCATACATCCACTCAATTCAAATCTAACATTAACCCATACCTGTTATATCCCTGTTTAGCAACACAAATTTGACAGAGGCATCACGATAGGCAAGGGGAGGAAGGTGAAAACAAAATGTCTTGGACAGCAGTGCTGTGTTACAGACTATGCAATTTGTTGCCTTGTTTGTATATTGTATAAAAAAGAAAAGACAGTACATGTCAAAGTACATTACAAAACCGCACTGTCGCTCGTGCTGGAGTCCAGGCCGTTCTGAGTGTGCCGTGACCCTGCAGTCCTGGTGCCCTTGGTCACCAGGGCAGCCTTGTCCTCGTGGGGGTCGGTGGTGGAGTCTGTGTCATTCGAGTGCTGAGTCAATGATGTCTCGCTGCCAGTCGGAGAATCCACGCTCTCATACCCTGCGCTCAGCTGGCTCCCGAAACCCACAGGTCCTCCAACTCTCCCAGCAGCAGTCTGACTCCCTGACGCCTCCTCCGAGTGGTTGGACAGTTTGGTCTCAGCTTCGCCGGGGCTGGAGACCATGGGGGACATGGGAAAGTCTTCCTCTGTGCTGCTGACCTCCCGGTACAGACTGGGTGTAGTGGTCTCGCTCCTCTGTGATGAGTTGCCATTGCTTGGTCCATTGGAGACCCTCCCGTAGTCTTTGCCCATTGGCTCAGAGGGTGCACTGGCCTGCTCAGGTTGGGTGGACGGTTCAACGGACGAGCTGGAAGCAGCGGGTGAAGTCCTGCTGGGTCCTGCTCCGGCCAGTGACCCCTGATTTTGAGACAGCTGCTGACGAGACTCCTTCAACTGTTGCTGCAGGACGAGGATGGTGCTCTGCATCCCCTCCACCTCCTCGTCTAGCTGGATGATAAAGTCATTCAACTCTGGGAGAGACGGAGATCAGGTACAGACAAGGAGCAACGTCAAAAATCCACTCAACAGTAGCATGTTGAAAAGATATACATATGACAACAAGGTGTCACACTTGGTGAAGGTAAAATGGTCTGTAAGATGTGGATGCTGCTCATGTTCTCACCGTCTTGACTGCTCTTGAGCTCCTCGCTGTACTTCTTCTGCAGTGCCAACTCGGCCTCCAGCTGGGCGATGCGTCCCTGGGACAGCTGCCTACCCAACTCCTGGTTTTCCTGAATCAGCATTCGACACTTGGCCATCAGTTTCTTCCCCGTCTGGCTGTAAGGGAAACAAGTCTCACATCACACAGTGAACCAGGAGACAAACACGACAGGCCATTGATCTCTTCCAACTGCCTGATCCACAAGCTAAGGGTCAACAGAAAACTCTTCAACCTGCCCATCCCTAAATGACTCTCTAGTCACAACAGGATTTTCATTATTATATCCATTAGCTTTCAATTCAATATAACATTAGCAATAGGAACCCCACATCCCACAAATCTGTTCTGTACAAATAAATGTAAATCATTTTCTTGATAAAGACCCGAAGTACGAACTCACATTTTTCTCTCTGAGTTAAAAGTTAAATTATGAGTATGCATTTAAAATCTAAGGTCCTCACTGTGACTGAAAGCCAAACCAAACTATTTCTATGGAACTAAGCAATTCTGCCACGACCAAAGTCTCAAATTTAAAACACACTCGCTCGCTACATTACTGAGTGTGAGGAAAAGGCAGAATAAAAAATGTAACAGTAATATTAGAATGACAAGAAGAACTATAATTTAAATATCAACAAGTACCTATGGGTAAAAAATGGAAATGTGCACTGCACAACCAGACACTAGTTTTGTGTAGTCATCACTTTAAATACACAGGAGAAAGTGTTTCAACAGTAAAATCACAGCAACAGCTTAAGGCGCTGCTTTCTCAGCTTCACAACAGGTTAAGGAATACTCCAACAGTCCAGCACACCTGTTATTTTTACATTAGCAGTTATTGCGTTTGTGCTTTACAAAAGCCCTAATCAAGAAGCCAAATTTACAAAACATAAGACAGGCATACACGTTATTTAAAACCAAAATTAACTGACATCTATTTAGTCTATAAATGCCTATGGGAGTCATCTTCCCAGAAGGAAATTAAATATTAACAGTAATGGCAAATAAACTCAGCAACTGTATCCTATAAAAGTAGAAGCAGTCATTAAAGTCTTAACAGCTCAGAAAACCATGTGTTATAAGAACTACACATTATTTAGTTAACTGCATTTCTTCTCAGTAGTTTAAATAGTTATCATAACCAGTAATTTCTCTAAATGACTGAAGACAAATGCCTTCAGCTTTCAAAAGGCTGTGTATACACTGCCAGCTTAAAGCTCACCAGGAGTATAAATTTGTTTTTTTAAAACACAGGAAAAGACAAAACAGATTCCATGTGTGTTTCATTCTGAAAACAGTGGCTAAAGATCTGTGCCACACAGGTGAGAAAGAACAGTCTAATCAGCTATGAGCGTAAATGGCTGAGGGAGAGATTGTGAGGTCAATAACAAAAATACACAGAAATACAATAAATACATTCTCATCAACTCATAACATGACTTGTTGAAGACATTTGCATTCACAACTTGAAAACAGGACTCCGTGCACTTACAGCAGTGTGTTTTGGTAAGTATCGGAAGAATTAAGCAAAGCTTAATTCTTCATAAAAGTGCAAATGTTATACAAGTGTAAACAAAGCTAATGGTGCTTCTTGGTTCACACACACTGCAGTAAGTGTTTGTTTCAGAGAAAAAAGAGAAAGATCAAATGAAATGCCAATAAAAAGAAACAAGTCACAAAATAAAACATGTAAATACACTCTACCGTGAGTGGGCCCATGTTCAAAGACACAGGCGACTGGACCCTCATGCCTGAACCACAGTCCTCTGTGGACCGAGGATCTGGCTCCGCTCACAGTCTTAACATCATTTCTAGTGTCTCTTCCCCCCAAAGTCTTACTTTTAAATCCTAGAAACTTTCCTCATGTTACTGAAATGTATCTAGACTGTCCAAAAGTCTTTACGTTTCTCAGGCAGACTAGAGGGGTATGTGTGTGGTGTAATCCACAGTTAAATGTCTTTATAGTAGTATGGGAATTGTAAAATGTTCAATTGCTGTTTTAGGCTAGGGATGGTCCCTGCCTGACTCACCCTCCACCATAACCCCTCTATTTAATATGTGAACTGTCTGGTTTGAGCTGAGGGTGCAGGGAGGGCATATCCGTGTTGGGAAGTGAGTGACCACCTCTTCAGGAACAGTCCAGACTCCTTCAGGCCCTTGGACGGTGAGGGGAGAGAGCTGAAACACAAGTGTCACCTGACCATACTGTCTTTTCGCTTTAGGTTATGTGATATGTAGCTGGCACAGTGCAAGAGTACAAAAACAGTTTTGTTTTGCAGTGACTGGCTTTCTGTAAAGTCTGAGTCTCGTGGTGAGTACAGCATTTGTCAGCCTTCCCCCCACCATTGTTCCTGCATGCCTGCAGTGAGAGTGAGGGTGGGGGGCATGAGGAAGTCTTGACTTTTTTGGGGGGAGGGGGGTTATTTTGATTGTCTTTACCTATCAGGTGTAAATTTCCAGGCACTCAGTTCATTTTGGGCCTGCTCCAGTTTGTCTTTAGTCTGTTCTAGTTCAGCCTTCATTTTGAGGAAAAACAAGTTGATGGCTGGGTCCACCATGGATGACCGCAGTTGGGCCGCACTCGGTTGTTGGACTTGCTTGAGGTACTGGATCTGGGTCTGCAGGATAAAACAAACAGGTGTTACTGACCAGTAAAGTGTAGTATATCACTACTAATGATGAACTTAAGATTTTGACTGTTAACTTGTTCAATCTCCAGTCGATGGAGCCACAATAGCAATTCTCCCGCAATCAAAAGAACTAAACGTCTGGTTCATAAATCCAGTGATATTTTTAAAGGTTATCTGATGGCTTTTCAATCAGGAGAATAAACTGGGCAACAAGAAAGCAATTTCGAATAATAAGATCAAACACCTTTGAAATGGATCTAGATTTAAATTTAGACTGCTGCAAAATAAAAAAAAAATACTTGGTTGGATGTTTAGTCATAGCTATTAACTAATCTTGGTTAATCTTATATTACATTTAAACCATTTAAATTCTATAATAAATGTAACTGGTACATATGAACTGCTTTCCTGGACACACCCAGCAAAGCCTAGATCAAGGTAGATCAAACAAGCTCAAAACAAACAAAAACTCACCTTTTGAAGTCAGCTATGATGACCTCAAATTTCCACAGGACTTATTTGAATATATCTAAATAATAGGCAAATGTGCAACTAATAACTCAACAGCCAGCTAAGAATTTAACTATTTCAGTCAGAAATTGTCCCCTAGCCTTCACAGCTCAGTGGTTAACAGCAAAGTAACAACCAGAGTTTAAAACTTCTCTAAACGCTACCTGGCAGTGTGTGTTGTGTTTACCTCAGCTGCCCTATAAGAATGGCATGTGCTGCCATAAAGCCACTGGGTGATCCACTGAGATGTCAATCTGATAAGAGCAAAGGATGCCGTACTCAACACTATTTACCTTTATCAGACATACCATAGTAATGAATGAATACAAGGTATAGTCTAGTGCTGAAACAATGTCAATTAGTAGACTTGACAGATAAAATGAGATGATTCAATGATAGCTTGTTCAAGTTTTTCCCAAGTAAAAATTACAAAACATTACGACGAACGATTAGAATTTCATAAAATACAGTGTACTTTGGTTTTTTTTTGGCCATTTATTGGACTAAGGAAAAGAGTTTAAGCGTGGTAACTTGTGAGTATTTATCAATAGCAGGCATTTAACCCACAATCAATGTATTTTTAAAAATGAATCAATAATAAAATTAATGATTAGCTGCAGCCACAGAGTAGTTGGACTTTTGTTGGCACAGCATAATACATTATAATATAGCAGTAAGAATAGGGAACATACAAGTTAAGCTACACTTTAAGAGGTGCTGGGTGCACCAACAATTATGCATCTACACTCTCTCTTTTAAGACAAAACTAAGTTTCCCACAGTCACATAAAAAACATTAAGTAGAGGAATAGATACATACTGTGCACTCTTGCATTTCCTGCTCCTTGGTGGCAAGTCGCATGACCAAGATGTTCTCCCTGCGTGCAGACTCCTGCTGTTGCTGCTTGAGCTTCTCCTCTGACTCCTTCAGCCCTGTTACATCATTGGCTAAGACGGTTGAAGAGGGAAGGTGGAAAAAAAAAAAAAAAAAAAAAAAAGAAGCGCATCAGAAGAAACATCCCTTTCAAAAAGCAGCCAAATATGGCGTGCAACATGTAGTGATTATCGCTGCCAGAGAGGCTGGCAGAAGAAACAATATCTGTGTTGTACTGGATCACATTTATGTAACAACAGATGTACTTACAACATAAATCTGCATATTTTGCCTCCAGGACCTGGACATATGCTTCATGCTGTTTCCACCTGAGGAGCAGAACATGTGTAAACATTAAAAAAAACAGTGCAACCTAAAATAAGATCCACACAACATAATTCATCTCCAATTGCAGAGCTGTTATTTACCTTGTGCACAACTCCTCCCTGGTCAGGGTCTTCATATCAGATTCACTGAGGCGAACCTGTGGAGAGCAAGACCAAGGACCGGTTAGATAAAAAGAAGCCCCCACCCTCCCCCCTCCCCATCCCCATCCATTAATTAAGCTTATATTTAGACATGAAAAGGGGGCTCACGACACGTGATAAATAAACACGCCTGGACTAGAAGAAAAAAAAGACGCTCACCTTCTTGGGTAGAGGCTCCTCGTTGGTCATTGTGAACTCTAGAAGTAAACGTGAAAGAAAACAACCATCATCATTAATCACAACCTGGTTGTCGTGTGTTGAAGCGACTGCATCATCGTTAGCTGTAACGCGCTGGTTGTCCGCACGCAGTAAAAAAAAATAAATATATATATATATATATATAAATATATATGACATGTATGACAACTGGGCTAAAATGCTACAAATACTACGGCTTCCCGACCATTAAACTGAGTTAATTGTGTGCGGTGACTAACTTAACTACCTGCTCGACCAAGTAAAAAGTTAACATTACCAGTCAATAAGAGCTGTCGAGCCTCCTGTTAGCTGTGAGTGTGGCAGGCAGCGACCGATGTAGCAGGGAACAGAAATAGGGCTAACCAAGGTTAACTCCGGCGTGCTAATAACATTTTAGCCTCGGCCACCGGAATAAACACAGGCTGTGAAAGTACCGCGTTACAGCCGCGATATTTCTCTGTATGTCCGACCTGGCAGCGTGCAGTTCTTGGCTCTGTTTTCGGCTCCTTGTTATCACAAAATGGCGGTGAAGGAAATGACTCCCTCCCTTGCGCTCCTTTTCCTGAAACTAGCGGGCTCTTGGCTTGCAGATATCAGGCCTCTAAAGCCGACGCTGAAACACTCACCGGACCCGCTTTCCTCGTCGATGTTACCGGAGCCTCTCGGCGTCACTGGCTTTCTCTACGTAAAAAACGGCGACTACGCTATAAAAGAAATAGTAATAATAATAATAACGTGCAAGATTTATATGTAGTTAACTCGCTTCGCCGTAATCACCATCATCTTCGTCACTGAAGGCAGAACAGAATGGCTCTGGCCGTGCTGCTGCTGCACTCGCGTTGCTGCAGAGTACAGCCAAAGATTGGGGAAGACAAAGCAGAGCACTCACTCCGCAGAGATTTCTGGATCCTAAAAACACGTCGCTAGGACGCACAGTACTGGGAAACATGCTCCTTGCCTGTTAGTAAATGGCTTATGGTTATTTATTTATATTTATATATATATATATATGTGTGTGTGTGTGTGTGTATTTATATATGTTAAGCTCATGAATACACTACACAGTGTATAAGAGACGCATTCATGTTTTGGGGCGTAATTCAAAGCTGTGTAGTTTAGAGATTCAAGATGTTTATTGTCATGAAAATTAAAATATATTTTCATTTTTCATTCTATTTGTGTGTTGTGTAAAGGGAGTCGGCGCAAAGTAAGATTTTCATTGTACGTATATAACCACTGTGTTTCTTACTGTACATATTTAGAGCTGAAGTAAGTTAAATTAATTAATTGAGCAATAATTTTATCCAAATTTGTTTTAATTATCAATCGATCATTGCCATAAACTGGCTGGTTACAGCTTCTCAATGTATATTTTCACAAACTTACCTTGTAATAAATGCACATGTACACTATATTTCTTTATTGCATACTGCTTACAGTGTATATATTTACATTATAGTTTTTATATTTTCTATTATATCTTAGTATATTTTTATTTCATTATTCTCTGTTGTATTTTTACTCTTCTCTTATCTCATCTCCAATCTCTTATATATTTGCTGATTTCCTCTCCTCTGTTAATAAATTCAATATTATTTTAAATTTGGAATGAAACAAGCTTATACGAAGACATCACCTTGGGCTCTGTGAAAGTTTGTTATATTTTTTCACTATTTTTAATAATGTCATTTTAAAAGAATAGAATAAGCAGATTAATCTATAATTATAATGATTAGTTGCAGCCTTGGTGTAGTGGCAGTGGTTGTAGTGCTGTGCTGTGACCCGAACAGAGCTTTTTCCCCCCGTTGGAGGCTTGTGTTCACTGGTTTGTGCATGATGGAAGATGATGGATGGTTTGTGTGTGACATTTCTCGAATGAGAAGTGAGAAAGATCTGTGCACCCTGATTTATTTTGGAAAATGTGTTTGTTTGTTCTCCTTCAAACAGACCAACAGAAAATGGCTAACTTACAAGAACATTTTCTTACTTGTCTATAATATTATGGTCTATGATCCAGATGAGTTTCTTGGTTAGTTATTCAGTATTTATTGTGAGAACCCACCAAGAATAAAAACTATTGCAGGCTGTAAATTGGTTGTTGGTGTTTTATCACAAAAGATGAGGTCTCTGGTTTTATGCCTTAGTGATTCATTTGCCTCAATATAGACGATCATTGCCTCTGCTGTGGTACAGTTCACGTGATTCTGTACTTTAATTCTGTTATTTTAGATAATTTGCTAAATTGTGCAGCCTACTTGTACAAATTATTTACAGTTTTTATGTTTATATTGCATATTATTATGTATTATTTATCTATTTGCTTTAACACAGTGTGTGTTAATACCGAAATGTAATATAAATTAAAATGTAATGATATGAGCACAGTATTTATATAACGAAATATACAATGACACTTAATCTACGCTCCTGTATTATACTTTTATTAAGTTCACAGAAAACCAACAAGAAGGGTGAGTTGAAAAATGTCATAGCAGAGGGAGGAGTAAAATATATAATCTAAAAAATTTAAATACATGTCAAAATATCACGTTTTTAATCACACATTTCATTATATAATATCTATCAATATTCATGAAAGGAGAAGTGGCTTTAACCGTCGCAGCTGAGGGGTGTCTAATTATTGTACACTCCCGTCAACACCCCCCACGGCATGACGATAATGGTACAGTCCTCGCTCTGTCAACTTGAACTCGCACATTTCAAGGGCAGTAGTGAACCAGCGTGTCTGCTCTGTGTCGTCTACCTTGTGGGGCACTATCATGAACATGCTTTGCAGAGTTGGTCAAATGCGCAGGTAAAACTAACAATATCAACTTACCAATTCAGTGCCGATACTCACGTTCAAAGTGCACAAAGGGGTTTTCGGACAGCCGACTCCTGCTAGCGGCGAGGGGCTCATGAACTTGACAGCCATTTATTCAGAGCTAACAGTTAGCTAGCCAGGATGCTAACTTTAGTTTAGCAGCTCAGCAAGGTTAGCTTGTGTGGCGCACCAAATAAAGGGTTGTGTTGAATTGTCGCCTGGTCCTACACTCATGACACACACGTTGTGTTTTTCTTTAAATTGTTACATTATAGTTAATAGCTAACTCGGTGCCACAGGCTCATTCAGATAGTCTAGTTAACCCCCTAACTACTCACTTGACTCAGAGTAAACACCAGAATTTAGGTCACTTCGAGCCAGTTGGTAAAGCTTATCATACTGTAACTAATAAACCTACCAATGCCACGCTGTCTTAGCCTAATGTTGTCAAATTTAACCACACAGCTTACTCATTTGGAGACCCATATAAAATGTGAACTGCTTATGCTCAGACATGTGGTTGGTATGTTTTGTTTTTTCTTTGCTTCAGGTCTGCAGCCAGCCTGAGCCAAACCATCAACCAGGTAGCTGCATCAAGGCAGAAGCACACGCTCCCTGACCTGACCTACGACTATGGCGCCCTGGAGCCCCACATTAATGCAGAGATCATGCAGCTGCACCACAGCAAGCACCACGCCACATATGTCAACAACCTTAACGTCACAGAGGAGAAGTATAAGGAGGCACTGGCAAAGGGTACAAACACAAAGTGACACGATGTTAGGATGGATTCATTAATATTAAAGAATGAACTACATGTGTCCGGATACATATCACTATATTCTTAACTTTTCCTTGTAACTGTATTCATGTCTCAGATCTGATGTCTTTGTATTCACCTGTATGTATTTGACCTGTATTTTAGGAGATGTGACCGCGCAGGTTGCCCTCCAGCCTGCTCTTAAGTTTAATGGAGGAGGCCACATTAACCACACCATCTTCTGGACAAATCTTTCTCCAAATGGTGGAGGCGAGCCACAGGGTAAGGCTCCAAAACGTAACTTTAAACGCCCTGTTTTTTCTTTTTCCAACGGCAACATTAAGCAACACATTGCTGTTACTCTGTAATGTGAAACGGGAGTTTGCAGTAACTGTGCAGCTCTGTGCAGCGTTTAGCTTATTGTTTCTGTTATTATTGGCCCTCACAAAGACTTTATTTTGGAGTCTCACCGCCCTCTCCAGCCACCAAAATAAAACATTGGTGCCCAGCCAGCCATTCCCAGTGAATAAACTCAGACAAGCGGACTTTACCAACACAAAACTGCAGAGATTAAAGGAAATGAGTGACTTGTGAAGATTTTGCATATCGAACCAGTTAGAAAGGGAGTTAATACTGGACTTCCACTCAGCAGGTTTTCAGGAACATGGCTCAAGTGTTTGTGGATTTGGTGCCTGAAAAGCTGTTGGTATCTCAGCATAGTTACACCAAGGTTGTTGTCTTTAATCATTCTGCCCCTTAATGGTCGAAGAGGGGACATCATTTGGCATACACAATATTATATGGCTTTCCAAAAAATACATCTTTTTTTATTATTTATTGCAAAAGAATATGCTTTCTTTCACATAATTTACAGCTATTATGATTAACTTAAGTTTACAAATGCTTTCTGATCTGGTTTCTTGTTTTAATTGCCCTGAAATAGCACGTGTCTGTGTCCCTTCGTGCAGGTGAGCTGATGGAGGCCATTAAGCGGGACTTTGGCTCCTTCCAGAAGATGAAGGAGAAGATGTCTGCTGCTACAGTGGCAGTGCAGGGCTCGGGCTGGGGCTGGCTGGGCTACGATAAGGAGAATGGAAGACTTCGTATAGCTGCTTGTGCTAACCAGGATCCCCTGCAGGGATCTACAGGTCAGTTGAACACAGCTGTGAAGTAAAGATAAGACTTTCTTTCTAGATTATGTCATTTATATATTTCCCTGAAATAGAGCTATCAGGGTAATTGTTTCCTGTCTCTGACACTCAGGTCTCATCCCCCTCCTTGGTATTGATGTATGGGAGCATGCCTACTACCTTCAGTACAAAAACGTGCGGCCGGACTATGTTAAGGCTATCTGGAATGTCATCAACTGGGAGAACGTGACCGAGCGTCTCCAGACTGCCAAAAAGTAAAATCTAATCCTCAAATACCCCATTCACTCTGACCTGAATCAAAAAGTAGTTGCAAATTATGTTCAGTTTTACCTTGCATGGAGTTTTAACGTGATCAGCTGCATCAGAATCACAAACTTAAAATTATTTGCAAGTGCTTTTTATCTCAGGTCTGTTTCCAACTTCCAGACTCTTTTCAAGCGCACAAATTGGCCTCCTTTTTACTTTAAGGCTGGCTTTCGTTAATCACACTCAAATTTGGCTGTGTAAACTGTATGTAAACTAGGTGTCGAATAACCAGAGTGTATATTAAGTGAGCGTTATCTTTGTCAGAATAACTCACACCAAACTCAACAACAATATTATTGCAGCCCATGTTTTTGATGTATTATAATAAAATTATAGGATTTCAATTGTAAAAGCTTGGTGGTTGGTGTTTCATTGTTCTATTTGTGTGTGCTGTACTGGATATCCTATAAGATGCCTTTTAATGCTATAGCTATAGAGAGTTATTTATGTGAGAGAAGGCGCGACAGTGAAAATAACAATATGGTGATTGTTGTCAGAGTGGTGACCAGCACAGAGGGTACAGGTCAAGCTTTTCTGTTCAGTTCACATCTTTATGGTCTCACCAGAGAACAGTAACTCACTGTTAATAGGTGTTCAACACAGGTCATGGGATTTTTAGTTTTTGGAGGAATGTTCAAGTTAAGTAAAGTAAGCTTGTTTTTTTTTTTTAACCAAATTTGGTGAGGCATGTAGGATATTTCGAATGGAAGGAACCAGTAGACTTAAAAGACCTCTCTCCCTGGCTGTAATTGTCAGCCTTTATCTCATACGGCACTATCAACATTTGTTTTTCTGCAACTGTTTCTTAAAGATTTTCTTTTCTGAAGCACGGCCAAGTTGGCTTTAGTCCAATCAAAAGATTTAAATCTGTGGAAAAACAGTGCTTTCTGAGAAACCATAGTTTGGTAGATAGTCTAGTCTAGTTTAACAACATGTGCAAACACTTATATAAGCATTTATTTATTTATTCAATCATTCATTTGTCTAATACTTAGACAAGGCTTAAACCTTTTGAACCATTGACAGTAAATAAGATGACTTTGCAGTTATTAGTCATGTAGTTGATTTGTATAGTGCATGATCTGCTGTGTCTGTTCACAGTATTGCCAAAAGAGGGCAGTGTTTGCCAATGTTTTCTGCTGTAGATGCTCTTTGGTACACTGCAAACATCAAGTGCATTTAAAGGTATGGGAGTCATATATGTGTGTTATTGGCTCAGACAGACTTTTTAAAAGTTACAGTTAATAAACCTCTTCCTCCATACAACACACAGTAGATTTTAAATGGCTTTAGAAGTACACTGTGTGTGACTTTTAAGAGTTTGTTGACTTGAGAGGAGGTTGCCTTTAAAATAATATCAAGGACAAGTTTACTTGAACTGTACAAATGGCTTCCAGCTGGTTAATCTCCTGTCATCCAAGTGGCTCCACTCTTCCTGTCAGTGATTAGGGTTGACCAGTTTGCCAGTGGGAATATCACATTCCAGAGATCTCTCTCTTTTCCTGGAGGTGTGTCATGATGTAGAGGTGAACTGGTTTTCAGTGGACACGGTGAGTTCAAGCACATGGTGACCAGACTCCAGTCGTGTGACTTAAATCAGCACTCTTTTGGTTGTATTAAGTGACGTATCATTGTAAATTGGGTCCTGAAGTTACTGAATGAATCAATAAAAATGAAAACATGTCATTTAAAGTCTTGGTTTAAACACTTTGCAAATGTATCAGTGAATTATTACATTTTGGCGTAGCTTGAGTCTATTGTTACATGGATTGTGATTGTTAAATCTGACCTACAGGCCTTTTGGGACTTATACATATCAAAATACTACTGATGTGGCAGAAACCAGCTGCAGCAGAAAGCCTGTGGGAGCAGACAAAGTAATGACAACTGACTTCAGACTGATTTTGGAGTCAACGACAAAGAACTGCTTCAATTTATCAGAACCATAAATACAAGCACACAAAGTTGAGTAGTTTCATTTGGGAGACATTGCCAGCGTTTAAAAACAGAAGTCTCCCCATTTATAAGATGATGGTTTGTCTAAATGTGGCCTACTTTTGCTCCATAAAAGTTTGGGTGTGCCAAAAATCATTTCCCTCTTCCACAACTCGTAAAAAGATTTAATTCACTCAGGATAGAGTGTCTTTAACCTCTGGAAGTGAAGAGAGGAAAATATTGGGGAAATGCCTCAGTCACTGAGTTTAACTCCTCTGAAATCTGTCTTTCTTCTTTCTCCCGTCTCTCTGTTTCCTTCTGCACTGCCCTTTCCTAAAAAACTGCCACGAAAACCTTTTTTCTTTGCTGCAAAACTCTGATTGTGAAATGTACACACATTCAACTTTGTGGCTTATCAGGCAGGAATACCGTTCCAATAGTAACTCTGGGACGTGTGCAGACAATCTAAATGATGTTTTAACACATGCTGATTAATGTTGGAGAGAACCTTTATTGGCAACAAAGAAGATAGTTTAGTTTTCTTCAAACACACACAGACTCACACACTTGGGTCCGAGCTCCGCTGTTGGTGCGGTTTCTCAGTGGGTGCACACAAGCGTGCAATGAGTCGTATGGCTTTATTTCACATCCTTATTTTCATTGTTAGGGCGTAAGTGGTGGAAATGCGTGCCCATCACATACCGTATTCTTCACTGATTCAAATTATGGTCTGCATTACCACACACAAAGGTTTTTATTTCTTGCATAACACTCTTAACGTTGTCCCACATTTCAAAGATAAATGTTGTGTGGTCGAGAAAGAGAAAAACCATAGAAACCTTAAAAAAATATTACTTATTCAGACTTTTTTTTACCATTTCCTGTACTTCATCTCTGGCTTGTTATTGGGTTTTTGAACACACTGTGTAAAAGTACTGACAGATGTGATGTAGGCCTATAGATGGTTGGATGGATGTAAAAAAAAAAAAAATACTTGTGTTGTGATATATAATTTAAAGTAAGTTAATGCATAAATAAATGTAATGGATAAATGATTCAAATAGCTAAATGTAGTAGATAAACAGTTGAAATAGTAAGCTAAAGATAGATAGATGGTGCGAAAGCTAAAAGTAGCCTAATAGGTAAATTATTGAAGTGGTTAGCTAGAAGTAAGCTGATGGATAATCATTTTAAATAGTTAGCTAAAAATAGTGGATAAACCACTGAAACACTTAGCTTAATGTAGGATAATGGCTAAATGAAACAGATAGCAGTTAGCTTTATAGTTAGATTTAAATGTTGGATAAGTGGTGAAAAGTCTAAGTAATGGATCAATGACCGAAACGCTCCAAGAGTTAATCTTGACCATACTTTTTTATAATCAACAGTGTTCAGTGGCATCCAGTTTAAATCCATTTCAAATGAACACAACATGATGGGCAGGGTCCCCCTTAATGTTGACTCCATGGCTACGGCCCTGATCTTTAATGTCTTCCAACCCTTGCAGCTTTGTCATCGCATTTTTTGCTTTCAGATCCTCCGCCCTACAAAGCTGTCCCACATTGTTCTCTGATGTGGATTGCTTGTGCTGTTTGCCCTACACAAGCTGTCATTGTCCCCTCTGGACTGGAAAGCCATTAGAAAAAGTGAAGTGTCAACATTAAGGAGGTAAAACTTTCCACCATTCGCTGTCCGTTGTTCCTGGCAGAGAGGGTGACGGAGCTAAATTCAGGGCACCCGTTTGGGTCTGAGCCCGAGTCTGAGTGCTTTGGAGAGGGAGCTCTCAACCAGGGACTGAGAGCCAGGAACCAGACATTTCAGTGGGTCTGAGGCAGCAGGGTTTTGTGGGAAGCTTTGATACCTCAGCCTGACAGGGCGATTGATTCATCACGGCTGCTGAAAACACCAGGCAGACAGAAAAGCATCCTCAAGAGCTTGAATAAAGTATAGGTGTATACAGTATATTTCAACAGCTCTCCATGGCTTGGTCTCTTCTGCCTCTGTTAGTGTTTCATCTGAGCATTACCATTTCTTCACCTGGAAATCTCTCTCTGAGAAAGTCTATAAAGAAAAGAGGAGAAAAGATTGTTTTAGCGAGAGGGCGTGACTGTGTCTGGTTAATTCTTCTCAGTTATGTAACAGTCGCTTGCACCAGTGAGTCTAAAGGCTTGTGGACATCGTTTAGGCAGCAGAGTGTGATAAATCACTGCAGGCCTGGGGTCATTTAGGTTTATGTGGGATTGATCCAAGCTTGACAAATCCACACGGATATCACTGGCTTTTCTGAAAAAAAAAAACTGAAATGCTCTCTTCTCTGCCAAATGTAGCTCATACAAGGACAAAAAACTGACCTAAGATCCTTGTATACATAAATTGTCCAATAATTGCACATATTTATACTCACAAACCTACCTCTTCATTTTTTCATGGATCATTTTACAGGTTTACAAATCTGTGATACTGGAACAGCTTTTGAAGCTTAAAAGTGAAAAAGTTTGTAATCCTGACACCTTGTTTAAAAGTTGTTTGGAAATTGTTTCCTTTGTCTATATTCTCTCTTTCCACATCCATCAATTCTGAAGCTGCCATTTCCATTTCTGTAATCCTTATATTGGCAATTAAACCTGTTGAAAATGATTCAATAATCCCACTGGATTTAATCAAGAGAGCAGATAAATTATTCTTTCAAAAACTGGCCGTCCTCTCTCATCCTTTGCTTAGAGTCAGCCGGTCCTCTTTGGCCGGGCTCTCAGGATGTCAGAGGGGAAGAGACTAAAACAAAATGAAGAGTATTTGGAGGGTACCCAAATACTGAGTATTATAATGCAATAAGGTGCCTTCATGTGCAGCAGACTTGACTTCCTGTCTAGGATGGAGCCGTGCCTGCTCCACAGTGCTCCCACCGGGTTGAACTGAAAAAACAAGTGGTTGTATTTAAAATCATATCAGACTCTCCGGGTGGCCTCTCGCAAAAACATCTGAAAATATCCCCCCTTCTTCATTTCCAGGTATCCACAAAAGTGGCTGATGGTGACAGATGGTAGCAAGAGAGGCAGCTTATTTGGTTTCTCTCTTTAGGAAAGTCAGGAAAGAGCTAAAATTGCCATTAATCACCATGTGCCTGAAGGATTTGCTGCTGATTTACTAAAATATAAACACAACTTAAACTAGAGATTACTGTTACATGCAAGGTAGCCATCAAATACAGTGTATTTAACACAGAATTTAGTTTATTTTTATGTCTCTAGCTCTGTACAATGGGTGTTTACAGCACAGCTGTTTTGGTGTGACTATGTATAAAGCAATCCAGACTTGGCTCCAATAATCTTGATATCACATAGATACACATGTTGACCTCTAAGAAATTATCTGATGTTTATGGAATCTTTGGTACAAGTCCAGCAAAGAGTGAAGCAC